GCCACACCCACCTACCTGCTCTTCTGCAGACCTGGCAAGTCCTACCGTTCATCCACATCTTTGTACAGGCTGTCCTTTTATCTGGAAATCTCTTCTCTCTGCCGTCTTCCTCAAAGATCTGGTGTCAGCTTCACCTCCTCTAGGAGACCTGCCCTCACCAACCAGGTATTCACGTCTACCTGAATCTTCTGTAATGAAAACAATCCCACTTTCTGCAGCCCACCCTCCAGGGACCCAAGCCTCAGCCTTGACTCTTCCTCACTGTGTGTCCCTAGTCCTTCTGAGTTTCAGTTTCTCTTTTGGTTCCTCCCCATTCAGGGCATCCCACCTGTGATTCCCAACCTCATGGGTTATTATGAGAACCAGATACATTGAAAGGAGAGGCCAGGGTTAAGAACAAATGGACAGGACAGGCCTGGGTTCAAATTCTGTTTCTCCTAACCAGCTGCATGACCTTGGGCCAGGCACCTCCAGTCTCCCAGCTGACAGTTCCCCACCGGAGAGCTGGAAATCTAGCAGCACTACCAGGGTGGTTGGGAGGATTCATGGGGTTGTGGAAGGTACAGCGCTTAACAGAGCACCTGGCGCGTGGACAGCTCTCTGTGGGTGTCAGTCATGATAGTTAAACCAGGTAGAGAAAGGACTGGTAAATTCTAACGTGCTATGGAAGTGGGACATAGTCTCATGATTTCCCAGAGACTCGCGCAAACCCTAGATAGGAAAAAGCCCCACTCCTGCTCACCATCAGCTGGGGTCACTAAACTCAGGGCTCCTCTCATTTTCTGGGGACAGGTAGTTAAACACCCATCCAAGGCCCTGCTTACAGCAATTGGGATTCTGTGGGTCTCGTCGCCCCCAAATCTGCTAAGTGCCCCAGGGAGTCTGGAGACGGTGGTGGGAATCCACACTGAGACACGACCATGTGCTGCACTGTGCCCTCCCACCGAAGCTGTGTTTCTGTGGCTGGGGGGCGAGGCTCGGCCCCTGGGTGCTCTGCCCGCAACCCCTGAAGCCTGGAGCAGCTGCTCAAATTCATGCAAAGGAAGGCGCCCAGGTTTGCCCTGTCTATTTATAGCTTATTTATGAGGAAGGAAAAACAAGGGCCCAGTTGCCTTAGCAACCAGGAGCATCATGGGCTGCTTTCTCTGCAGTGGGAAATTGGCCAAGTCTCCTTGTGGGGGGCACCCCTGAATGTGTGTGTGTATCCCAACAGAGGACAGGGGTGAACCTTCTAAGACCTGTCCCACGCTGGATTCCTAGCAGCCTACAGGTTGCAGGGAGGGAGCTTGCCAGGCCCTTGGACACCCCTCCCTGATGCAGAGGGCCGTGCACAGCTGAATTCTCTGTGGAAGGGCACACTCTGGTCTCTTGGTCTCGGTGCTGACTCCTGTCCTCTGGGTGCCCACCCTGCTGCCTCAGACCCTCTTGGGAGCCCTTTCCTGGCTGTGCTCTGGTACATGTCCCTTAGGGCATTTAGGGCAGGGAACTGAAGTTATAGTTTCCAGACCAGTGCCCCTTAAGGCTGTGATCTGGCCCAGAGCCTGGTACCGAGGAGGGGCTTAATAAATACTGAATGAAAGAATGAATGAATGAAGTGCTTTCATTTATGGTGTGTGTCCTTACTCAGTATGCACAAGGTAAGGGACACACTGTATGTAATGTTCTTTCATTTTACAGACCAGGAAACTGAGATTCAGACAGATGAAGAGACCAGCCCACAATCACACAGGTGGGAAATAGCTGGGCTGGATGAGAATCCTTGAGGAGGAAACCTTGCTTTTGCTCTGGCAAAGCCCCAGGGAACACGGGAACTTGGGTTTCAGCTGGGCCATAATTGTTGGGCGCCGGGGAAGGGCAACATGGTGCTGTGGCTGGTCTGGGGCTGAGAGGCATGTGGTTTGAATTTTGACTCTGCCACTTATCAGCTGTGTGACCTTGAATCATCGACTTTCCCTCTGTGGGCCTCAGTTGCTTCATCTGTAAAGTGGGGCAATGATGCCTGGTTCTTGGGGACTGGTAACTTCTGGAGGGCAGGCACCGTGTCTGTCTCTTGATCATCTGTTTTCCCGGTGTTGGCACAATCTTAGGTGCCTAAGATGATCATGATTTCCTGTATATAAAGTAGATTGGGTGCTCTCAGGGAAGGTTGGTTGCTACTCCATTATTAGGGAACTGAGGCACAGAGAGCTTGGCGGTTCCCCTGAGATCACAGAGCCAAATCCAGAGCAGAGGTGGTTGCTTTACTGGTCTGTCAGGTTTGCCTGGGACAAACCATTGCTGGGGATTAAATGGGACTGGGTCCGGGCCCTGGGGAGGGCATTCTGGACTGGGCTGCAGTCCCAGGGGGAAGGAGTCATGTTGGACAGGGAGGCTGAAGCAGGGGGTCTCTGAGTACCAGGGACCTAGAGCTGCAGGTACTGATCTGGAGGTGCCGAGGCCCCGTCCTAGGCTGTGTGGAGTTTGCCTGGCTTTGGGCTGGGCTTCTGAAGGTCCCGGGCTGCCTGGAGGCTCTCTGTCGCCCTCTGCTGGGCCACCTCCGGAGGCTCGAAGACCTGCAGTGCCACCTCTTCAGTTGTCTGGGTGTGCAACCCATACCTAAGAGATCCAGGTAAGAAGAGGAATGCCCCAGGACAAACCGAGATCACAGATCATTTCCACATCCTTCCCTGGCTCCTCCCGCTCCCACCCGGATGCTATGGCAAAACACAGGCGCCCTGCCCCCACCCTCTGGGGGCTGCAGGCTGCTATGCTTCCTTGGAGGCCATCATATTCATCACTGTTTCCTGAAAACAATGCACACCCAGGGTTTTTTGTTTGGTTTTGTTTGTTCCATACCCCAAGCCCTCGCTCATATTCTGTCCCTCCTGCCTTCTCATTCCATGAGTGCGCTCTGTCCTTCTGAGCCTCTAGGCTTTTGGGGGCTTCTCTTCTCCCCGCAACCATTTCATGGTTTTGGAGGCTAAAGTCTGAAATCAAGGTGTTGGCAAGATTAGCTCCTTCTGAGGGCTGTGCCAGGCCTCTCACCTGGTGGGTCTGGCGGCTTGCTGTCAATCATTGGCATTCCTTGGCATCTCTGCCTTCATGTCCACATAGCTCTTGCTGTGTGAATGTCTGTCGGCAAATTTCCCCTTTTTATAAAGACAACAGTCATACAGATTAGGATCTACCGTAATGACCTCATTTTAACTCTATCGCCTCTGTAAAGCCCTATTTCCAAATAAGGTCACATTCTGAGGTACTGGGGGTTGTGACTTCAACATAAGAATTTTAGGGTGGCACAATTCAGCCCCTAACACGAGGAGAAGAATTACATCCGGTCCATCTTGCGTTCATTCCCTTGGGGCTGAACCCAGTACAGGAGTGAGAGAGTTTGATGAATGTTACAGAAGAAGTTCTTCATCCTCAGTTTATTTGCTGACCTCCACAGTGCCCAGGGCATTTCAAACTATGACCTGTCCTGTCTAAGTCTTACGGACATGAGTCTCTGTCATCAGGAAATGGACTTCTCTAGAGCAGAGCCTAGATCTTCTTACTTTTGACATTCACCAAAGGAGACACTCAGACTTTTCCATCAGTAGATTCCTGTGGAATCAGGTAGGTGAGGCTTTACTTTCCTAATTCTGCACAAAAGACCCAGAAAAGTAATGAAAGAGAATTTAACTTTTGACAAATAATTATTGAACACAGTTGTGACAGACTCTGTAACTTCATTCCACCATTACTGAGGCTGTCGCTTACTTGCTATGAAATGAATGTATTAACATTAATAACTATTTATTGAAAAGCTGCTATATTCCTGGGATACACGCTGTTCATGGACAATTTTCAATTCTCACAGCAGCCTTTTACAAATGGAAATAAAATGAACCTAACATAAAGTTCACCATTTAAAAATGTGCAGTTCAGTGGGTTTTAGTTTATTCACAATGTCATGCAACCATTAGCACAGCCTAATTCCAGAACATTTTCATCACCTCAAAAAGAGACTTCGTGCCCATCGGTCGCTCCCCATTTTTTCCTCCCCCGATTTCCTAGCAACCACTAATCTAGTTTCTAACTCTATGGATTTGCCTAGTATGGATTTCAGAGAGACAGAACCATACTATACTCAGTTTTTTGGGTTTTTTTTTTGTGCCTAGTGTCTTTCACTTAGCACAGTATTTTCAAGGTTCACTCCTGTTGTAGCATGTATCAATGCTTCCTTCCTTTTTATGGTCGAATAATATTCTGTTGTGTGGACGTACCACATTTTGCTTATCCATTCATCAGCTGATGGACATTTGGGTTGTTTCCATTATTTGGTTATGCTGAATAATGCTGCTATGAATATCTATGTACAAGTTTTTGTGAACATATGCTTTTGATTCTCTTGGGTATATACTTTAGAGACAAATTGCTGGGTCTACGTTTAACTTTCTGGGGAACTACCAAATGGTTTCCTACCAGGCATGTATGAGGGTTCCAGGTTCCCCACATCACCACCAACTCTTGTTATTTTCTGTGTTTTTTGATTATAGCCATCCTAGTGGGTGTGCACTGGTATCGCATTGTGGTTTTCATTTGCATTTCCCTAATGACTAATGATGTTGAGCATCTTCTCACGTGCTTCTTTTCTCAGAAGCCTTTTGAGGTAGCTCTTCTCCATTTGGCGGCAGGGGAAGGAGATTGAGAGTTGAGAGGACTTGCTCAGTGCAAGGAGGCGGTGGGCCTGTGCCTGGAACTTGGTCGTGTCTGTCTCCTAAGCCCCATGGAGTCTAATTAACAGGAGAAAACAGTTCTGGTCTGGTTCACAGGAGTCTGGTCTCCCATGCGACCAACTGGGACAAGTCCTTTCCCCGCTCCGGGCGTTAGTTACTCCTCCGCGCCACTTGGGGCGAAATACTCCAAGCATGTATGGGCTCCTCGAGGAGCCCATAACTCTAAGATTAATGGCGCTGCCGCGGAGTTTGCCCCGCCCCCCCAGCCCAGGTCGCCGCAGGCGCCGGAAGTGCTCGGCTCTCTTTGCTCGTTTCTGCCGGCGCTGCGGCGGAAATACTTTCTCGGGAAGATGGCGGCTGTGTCAGTCTACGAGCGGCCGGTTGGAGGTTTCTCTTTTGATAACTGTCGCAGGTGCGGCCATGCCCGGGGCCAGGTTCCGGGCGGGAGTGGGAGTGCGGTGCCGGGGTCGGAGCTAGGCCGCGGTCTGATTTGGGAAGTCCAAACGAAGGGTGAACGGCGGGGCCTGCGGCCTGTGCCCCGCGGCCCGTGTGACTCAGGGGAATGAGGGCCTGAGAGTGGGTTTCTCTTTGAGGCCGAGCCCGCCCTTCCCCTTGCCCAGCGCACCCTACCAGTCTCCGTCTGTGTCTCCTGGGGCGAGATGCGGCCCCTCTCCGACGCTGTGCACGCCGAAAAACGCGACAGTAGTCCTGATTTTGGGGGGACTCAGTGAACGGATGGGCTTGAAAGCGAATAGTAGCTTTTCTTTTCCTGAGTTCCCTATTAGACACTCTTGGTGCCAGTGCCGCGCGATGTGGTCCAGCCCTTCCATGCTTCATTCTCTGCTTTTCTTTCAGAAATGCCGTCTTGGAAGCCGATTTTGCGAAGAAAGGGTACAGGCTTCCAGCGGCCCGGAAAACTGGCACGACCATCGCGGGGGTGGTCTATAAGGTAAGCCGGCACAGACCAGGAGCAGCAGTGACTGAACTGATTACAGGAACCAGGCCACTTGGCGTCCTTTTACTTCTCCGAGCTCTGTCAGGAAGGGCTCATGTTTCAGAATACGTCGGGAAAGGTCCTTCAGGATTTGTCGGGAGGTTTTGTGTGCTTACCAACAGTTTATATTCTTTCCCCACTTTTTAGAATTTTGGCAGGAGATCAATACTTTTCTGTCTTGAGATACTACGTTGGGAACCAGGGTTATGTTGCTGGGAAAACACAGGATTTCGGATCAGACAGGTCTAACCATTTAACTTTGATGCTGCTTCCAACTTTGGGCAAGTCACTTTCCTTCTCACAGCCACACTTCACCGTCCATCAGATGGACCGAATAACTCCTGCCTTAAATTGTTGAAAGGGTCTAAAGAGATAATGGTTATTGTTGTTAAAGAGCGATGTCTTTTAAAAAGAAATCGACAGAGGTGGCTATTCTAATGGGAGGATTTCTGCATCTTAATCCAGACTTTCCTCATATTAGGTCTGTGATTTGTAAGGAATTCACTAAATCTGTGAGCCTCATTTGAAAACAGGAATGATAATTCCTACCACCTACTTGGCATTCAACCTATAACGTTAATTAACAAGGCTTTTCTTGAATTCTGAAAGTACAGCACAATATTTTTGGTAGGAGTTTCAGTGGGGGGTGGAGGTTTGGGGAAAACAGGGGATGGCCAACATTGTTTTTCCTAAACTAGAGTAGAGAGCTGTGGTTTATATATGTGAAATTGTTTTAAGTGTATTTTTTTTAAAAATAGGATGGCATAGTTCTTGGAGCAGATACAAGGGCAACTGAAGGGATGGTTGTTGCGGACAAGAACTGTTCAAAAATACACTTCATATCTCCTAACATTTAGTAAGTATCAGTTAGTTTGAATAGCTCTTATATTTTCAAACATGTCAGGGTTAAAATGGAATTTACTTTGTTGTTCACTGAAACCTGTTGTTTAACTTGTATTTTCTTTTTTATCTCCCTTAAGTGCAATTTTATCTGCCTGTCACCTAAGCTGGTCACCCGCAAGTTCTCCTTTGCTTTAGTCTTTAATTCTCTTGGTCTCCAGTTCTGCTTTCTGTGTGCCTCTTGAAACCATTCCCTCCGCTAAAGCCTTAGTTCACATTCTTGTTTCTCATCTGGACTATTGCAGTTGTCATTTAAATGATCTCTCTGCCTTTGGTCTCTTTATTATCTGCCCTTTTGCTATATTGGATCTTGTAAAACAGATCTGATTATGTCCCTTTCCTCTTTAAAAATATATATATATTTTTAAACATATGATTATGCTTTTTTTTTTAAGATTTTTTATTTATTTATGAGAGAGAGAGAGAGAGAGCATGAGAGGGGAGAGGTCAGAGGGAGAAGCAGAGTCCCCACTAAGCAGGGAGCCCTATGTGGGACTCGATCCTGGGACTCCACGATCACAACCTGAGCTGAAGGCAGTTGCTTAAATAGCTGAGCCACCCAGGTGCCCTAAAAATATTTCAAGAGACTTCACATTTCCACACTGCTTTCAGAATAAAATTGGAACTCTGTAGCATGATATTTAAGATCTTGCCCACTGTCAGAAAAATTAACCTTTTCACCTTATTTAGCTGCCATCCCCCTGTGTTCCAGTTACACCCGGACTGTTCCTGTTCCTCTCATCTTCAAGCTCTTTCACCTTTGCTTTTGCCAGTCCCTCTGCCTAGAATTGCCCTTTCCTTTTTGTTTATATGGTGTTGTTTTATTCTTGCAAATCCAGCTCACGTGAGACCTCTTCTCTAAGATCAGAATTAATTGCTGTCTCTCCTGTTTCCCATAGCGTTTTGTACTTATGCTGCTATATTGTATTATACGAGGTTTTAGAATTTTTGCCTACTTTTGTCTCCTTCACTCAACTGTGAAATCAAGTGCTAGGATCGTGTCATATTTTCTTTATTCTCAGCACTTTGTCATGACTGGTACCTGGTAGTAAATATTTGGTAAATGTTAAATTACAAGGCTTTTAACATGCCTTGGCTCTTTGGTACAACTTGAATATATTTTTAGGATTAGTAAAATGCAGACTGTGTTAGAAGCACAGAAGCTAATGATTTGAAATGTTCTATCGGGCCACAGAAAATATGTTTACACGGGACTAGATGCATATTCTCAGTTTCATGTTTATTTAAGATTGGTTAGACAGGGTAGTTACAGTGCAGAATATACTCAGAAACATCTCTCTGTGTACCTGAACTTAGTGGAAGTTATCCAGGAAGCTCCACTTCTAATTGACCCCTTTGGTATGAATTTCAGCTAAGTTTCTGATTGTATTTTTTAGTTGCTGTGGTGCTGGGACAGCTGCAGACACAGACATGACAACCCAGCTCATTTCTTCCAATTTGGAGCTCCACTCCCTCTCCACTGGCCGCCTTCCCAGAGTTGTGACAGCCAATCGGATGCTGAAGCAGATGCTTTTCAGGTAAGGTTCCAGGTGGGGATTTGTTTGTTTCTTTTTTTTTTTGTAATTTTATTTAAATCAATTATCTTATAGTGTGTTATTAGTTTCAGAGGTAGAGTTCAGTGATTCATCAGTTGCATATAACACCAGGTGCTCATTACGTCATGTGCCTTCCTTAATGCCCATCACCCAGTTGCCCCATCCCCCTACCCACCACCATTCCAGCAACCCTCAGTTTGTTTCCTAGAGTTAAGAGTCTCTTATGGTTTGTCTCCTCTCTGATTTTGTCTTATTCTAGTTTTCCCTCCCTTCCCCTAGATTCTCTGTTTTGTTTCTTAAATTCCACATGAGTGAAATCATAATTGTCTTTCTCTGATTGACTTACTTCACTTAGCATAATACCCTCTAGTTCCATCCACGTCATTGCAAATGGTAAGATTTCTTTCTTTTTTTTTTTTTGATGGCTGAGTAATATCCCATTGTATACATATACCACATCTTTTTTATCCATTCATCTGTCGATGGACGTCTGGGTTCTTTCCATAGTTTGGGTACTGTGGACATTGCTGCTATAAACATTGGGGTGGAGGTGCTGCTTCGGAACACTCTGTTTGTTCCAGGATGGGGATTTCTGTAGTATCTTTTTCTCCTATCTTAGATTTTCAGCTGAGGGGATCCTGGAAGCTAGAGAAAAAGCATTCAGAAATACCATTTTATTCTAGAAATCAGTTGTTACCATTTTAATATCAGAAGGCTTTTGATGATGTATTTGAATTTTTGGGATCTAGTTTTTTTTTTTTTTTTTCCTTCAAGATTTTATTTATTTATTTGACAGAGAGAGAGAGAGATAGCAAGAGCAGGAACACAAGGCGGGGAGTGGGAGAGGGAGAAGCAGGCTTCCCATGGAGCAGGAAGCCCGATGCGGGGCTCGATCCCAGGACCCTGGGATCACGACCTGAGCCAAAGGCAGACGGTCAGTGACTGAGCCACCTAAGCGCCCCAGGATCTGTTTTTTTTTCCCCCCTATGAATAAATCACATGTGACCACAGTCATTTCTGGAAGCATAGGGCATTACTGGATTAAAAATTTTTTTTATTTATAGTAAGAAAGTTAGAACTGGACAGAACCTTTGGTTCATCTTGTGAACACACATAGACAAAAACAATTGTTTTTTTCCTCCCTCTTTTAGGGGCAAAATAACAGTGAAATGAAAAATTGTATTTGTAGTTGACTGTGAGTGGATATAATAACATTAATATTAACGCACATTTATTTTTCTCTTTGTGCCAGACCCTGTGCTTAGTTCTTTATGCACGATCTCATTTTACCTTTTGATAGAGCGGCCCCTCTGAGATGGGGGCTGTTAACATCTCCAATATTTTTTTTTTTAAGGGTTCCCAAGTCTTTTTTTTTTTTTAAGATTTTATTTATTCAGGGGCACCTGGGTGGCTCAGTCGTCAAGCGTCTGCCTTCGGCTCAGGTCATGACCCAGGGTCCTGGGATCGAGCCCCGCATCGGGCTCCCTGCTACGCGGGAAGCCTGCTTCTCCCTCTCCCACTCCACCTGCTTGTGTTCCCTCCTCACTGTCTCTCTCTCTGTCAAATAAATAAATAAAATCTTAAAAAAAAAAAAAAGATTTTATTCATTTGACAGAGAGGGAGAGCACAAGTAGGCAGAGCGGCAGGGAGAGGGAGAAGCAGGCTGTCTGCTGAGCAGGGAGCTGGACGAGGGGCTTGATCCCAGGACCCTGAGATCATGACCTGAGCTGAAGGCAGCCGCTTAACTGACTGAGCCATCCAGGCACCCCAACATCTCCAATATTTGAGTGAAGCTGAGGTTTACAGAAGTGTAGTTGCCTGCCTGATCTGGCCTTCACACCCTGCTGACTTCCACCCACAGTGCTCTTAGTTTGGTCTCCCTTTCATCCTTAATCAGATCATCACTTTACATTTGTGTAGTTTTCCTCTTTTTCAAATTCTAAGTCTGTTTTCTGATTTGCTCCTTGTAGAGAGAAGAGGGGCAGTGTATTAGAGCAGAACCAGGAAATAGCCTGGACATTCAGTGGTGGGTTAGAATATTGGTTTCTCCTTTTGGGACCTGCATTACCTTTAACAGATTCTCTCTTTTTCCTTCTTTGTAGATTTGTAGAATCTAGAATCATGGTGCTTTTTTTTTTTGTAGTTGACTGGAGATCTTTATTATTCTGGTTCTCATCATTCATTAAGCAACCTAGAGAAAACATTTTCTTTATCTCTGTCCCAAGCAGCAGCAGCTGCAGCCAGGCCTGTGAGATTAGAGGGAAGCAGGAATAGAAAGCCAGGATTGTAAACTGGTGGCACACAAGCTGTATTCAGCTTGTAGAGAAATTGTATTTGGGCTGCATAGTGTTTTTTTAAAAAACAGTGGCCAATAATTATAAATTGGGAGATTGGAATAAAAAATCTGGATTTCTGGCTTTAAAATTTTTTTTTAATTAATTATTTCCTGGCTTCATTTGAAAAAATTCATAAAGAGGGTGGGATAATAGGTGGCAGTAATCTTCTGGAACTGAGTGGCAGATGTTGCCTTTAGAAGGGGGGAGCATGTGCTCCTGTCAGTTCCTGCCTGGTTTGACTTCCTTCCGGCCTGGCTCTTGCCTTTCTGTGAGCTTGCTGGTCTTCATCTGTGAGTCTGGCACGGCCCTAGGCTCTCAGCAAGTGGATATGAGGCAGTGTAGCTGTGCAGCAAGGTCTGTAGCATAGTTCCCACTTTACAGCTGAGAAGACCAGGACTCAGAGGAGTCTATGGGCGGGAAGCCTAGTCGTATCTACCTAATGCATGCTCTGGCTGTACTGAGCCCTTCTGTGGGTGATTTCCATGTATTTATGTGCATGGTCATCATCCTAATCTTGGAGAATTACTGCGTATCAAACAAATTCTCCCAATACAGTGTGAGAACTTGTTAAAGCACATCTGTTGTCAAGATTTCCAAAGACATTCGTGAATTTGATTTTAAATTTAAAGCTCCCTCTGGTGGTTTTTGTGGTGCATTACATTTAAAGCAAATTTTAAACTTGTAAAATTGCGTTAAATAGCAAATTTTCAAGATTTCTTCCAATGTCATTTAAAGCATCTACCCAAACCTCACAGGTCTTTCTGTTAATCTCTCTTTAGAATGTTTTAGGAATTCTAAATTCACTTTTTTCAGTGTTTTATTATTTTTAGTTTAACATACTTTATAAAAATTAAATTTTATCACAGTTTTTAAATTTTTTTTAAAGATTTTCTTTATTTATTTGACAGAGAAAGACACAGTGAGAGAGGGAACACAAGCAGGGGGAGTGGGAGAGGGAGAAGCAGGCTTCCCGCAGAGCAGGGAGCCCGATACGGGGCTCGATCCCAGGATCCTGGGATCACGACCTGAGCCGAAGGCAGACGCTTAACGACTGAGCCACCCATGCGCCCCGAGAAGAACATTTTAAAATTTAACCAGGATGATTGTGGTTCATTATGTGTCTTCTGACATTTTTGTTGAGTTACATAAAATGTAAATGTGGTATAAGGGAAAAAGCATAGGATTTCACTTTATTTTTTTCACCCCCCCCTTTTTTTTTTTAAAAAGATTTTATTTATTTATTAGAGAGAGGGAGGGAGAGTGAGCATGAGCGTGGTGAAGGGCCGAGGGAGAAGCAGACTCTCCGCTGAGAAGGGAGCCCGATGGGGGGCTTGATCCCAGGACGCTGGGATCTTGACCTGAGCAGAAGGCAGATGCTTAACCGACTGAGCCACCTGGGCGTCCCAGGATTTCACTTTAGAAGTTTGGTTCAGGTCTTATCTAAAGCACTTAGAGTTGTGTGACCTTGGGCAGTTCACCTTACCTTTCTTAGCCTCAGTTTCTTCCTCAATAAGATGAGGATAATAGTTTTTTTTTTTTTTTAAAGATTTTATTTATTTATTTGAGAGAGAGAAAGTGTGCGTGAGAGAGAGAGCACAAGCAGAGGGTAGGGGCAGAGGGAGAGGGAGAAGCAGGCTCCCCGCTGAGCAGGGAGCCTGATGCAGGGCTCGATCCCAGGACCCTGAGATCATGACCCGAGCCGAAGGCAGATGCTCAATGGACTGAGCCACCCAGGCACCCCGAGGATAATAGTTTCTGACTCTCTGACTTTTGAGGAGGAAATGAATAAAGAAGCAAGGCTTACGACGATGCCCAGGACAGGGCCTAATGCACAGTTAGGTCCCCCTAAATTCAGAGGCTGAAAAAGAGAACAAGGTGTATTCATCTTGCTTTTACTGTTCCATTTTTCCCCGAATAATCCATTTCCATGTCTGTGAATCAGTAAGAAAAGGGGGTTTGATAAACAGAAGTGGACATCTTTTCCTTTATGTAAGCAGTACTTTTATTTTACGTTTACGATGGCTGAATGTGGAAGATGTACGTGTTACTTGTTCCCTCTGAGCATGAGCCTCCTAGTCGAGTCTAATAGAAATCTTTGTAGTCTCTGATTCTGTATTCCAGAAACTCCTTGAAAATATAGAGCCTCTTTATTTATTATGTTAATTGTGCTTTTATTTTCTATGAAAGTAATGTATATTCATTGTAAAAAATTTGGAAAATACTGAAAAGCCCGAAGAAAAAATAAAAATTTTTCAGTTCAGGGAAAATCATGTTTTGGTTAGGTATCTATACTTCTAGTCTTTTAAGTTGTTGGCTCACTCATTCATTGAATCCTTCTTTGCTTCCTTCCTTGTTACTAGTACACGTTCTCAGTAAAACCTAAGATAGAAGACAGGGATAAACTAAAAAAATACAAAAATTATCTGAGTTCCTACCACCCATAAGCAGTTGGTTCTAGCAGGTTACTATATGCCTTTCAAGCTTTTTTCCATTTACTAATACATAGTTTGTTCTGTAAAAATGGGATCATAGTTGTACATTCTATCCTGGAATACAACCTGTTGTTTTCATCTACCAGTGTGTGTTGAATAGTTTCCATTTGGAGCATTTCAAAATGAAAATCACCTTTTAAAAAATTATTGTAAAAGTAATGTGTGATCAATATAAAAATTTCCAACACTGTGGAAATGTGAAAAGAAGGAAGTAAATGTCACCTCATGTTTTGTTACTTAGACACATACGTTGTAAATCTTTGAGAACTGTTTTTCCAGACCTTTTATGCTATGACATTTGCTCATTTATGTATTTACAACAGTGGAATCCTGTGTGTTGTTTTGTAACTGACCCTGTTCACATAATAGTATATTCTTAATGTTGTCCCCATTAGTAGAAGAGCTCAGCATCCAGAGTTTCTACCTTGAGCTCATAGAGGAGTTCTGGAGACCTGTGACCCTCCTGACGTAGTAAAAAACCTGTATGTACACTTGTTATGAGTCAGGGTTCCACACTGTGAATCAGTTTTTCAAAGGGGTCTGTGACCTATAAAAGTTAACCACTGATCAATATCAATTTTTGGTGGTATCACAGTATTCCATTCTCTAGATGTACCATAATTTAACCAGTTTTGAACTTTAACAGTATTGCTTGTTTAAGGTATCATAAGGTATCCTATGAACCCTTTGGAACATAGGACCTTTAGGTACTTGTGTGATTAATTCCTCATGCTGTATTCTAAAATAAATTCCTAGAAATGGAATTATTGAGTCAAAGGTATGCACATTTAACATTTTGATACATGTTGCCAAACCCACCCTTGAGAAATGTTGCACTGAGTTGCACTACCGTCGGTGTATGAGAAAATACCCCGTGATCTGGATGATCTAGAGCATAGCTAGGTCAGTTTATTTAGCTAGTTCTCTGTTTCTACTTTTTTGGCATCGTAAACGGTATTGCAGTAAACAACCTTGTGCATCCATTTCTGCATATTTGTCTGATTATATCCTTAGAATTTGATTCCTGGAAGTAGAGTTTCTGGATCTAAGGAATATAATAAGTTCCAAAACAACCTGTTTGATGCTTTCAAAAGAATCTAAGATATGTTTTAGCTTGGAAGGAAACTAGCTGATTATTACTGATTTTATTTAAACAGCCTGTCTGGCAGGCAGTTGGTGTAGTGGGTCAGGCCCTGGACTGGGGTGGGAGTGGTGGGTTTGGTGATTCCCACGGCTCATCCCAGAGCCCTGTGACCTAGTCTTGACCCTGCTACTACCTCATGTGGCTTAGGACCAGTTTCTTTTCCTCTTTCTGGGCCTCTGTTTTCTTTTGAGACTGTTTCTAGAATCCTTTCCTGCTCTTTACTTTTTCACTTATAACTGGAAGATCTTTCCTTCCTTCCTCTTTCTTCCTTTCCTTCTTTCTTTCCTTCCTTCCTTCCTTTCTTTCTTTCTTTTGATTTTAATTTTTTAAAGTAATTCCTGTACCCAACATGGGGCTCAAAACCACAGCCCCAAGATCAAGAGTTGCATGCCCTACTGACTGATCCAGCCAGGCACCCTTGGGATGTTCTTTGTGAAAGAGCAATTTGGTAGTCAGGGATGGGGGAAATAATTGGACTTGACTATTCTGGTTACCAAGAGTGCTCCCTGATGAGTAGTTATGTCTCAGACAGTCTACAGTTAGGACTTTGATTGGTTTTTGTGTTTATTTCTCTCAATTTTAATGATTATATCATTAGGCAAATTCATTATGTGTTGGTTTCATTTTTCTTTCCAAAGAGCTAAAGGCTCGGGGTGGAGGACTTTAAATCCAGCTTGTTTATTTAGCATAGCGATTCTAATGGTAAAAAATGGAACCAAATACAGGGAAAGCAATCTGTAGAAGTAGAAAACCAACTAGGTGAGGGATCCAAAGAGCAAATACATGCACAATTCAACAGAGGTAGGGTGTGGTGGAGAATGTATTCCCATCCCTGTTCCTGAAGAGGCATTGCTTCCTCCTGTGGGCAGTAGGAATGTGTTTTAGAGGCTATTGTGGAGTTATTTCATCATTCACTTCCCTGCATGATGAAATATTTTTCTTTTACTCAATAAGAACTCACATCTATGATTATAATTTTGTGAATTTATTCAAAAGAGAAGGTGTTTTGACATGAGCCATTGTCCTGTGAGGCTATGATGAAGTGAGGTTGAGAATTTGAACAGCTTGAGTTTAGCAGCTCCTCAGTGTTCACTTTGAAAGTAGTTGATTTACTGATCCCTGAGAGGTGTGATGGGAAGGGTGCTGATAAATTTTGGAGTAAGCCAAGCTCAGTTGTGAGAGATCGGGCTGGCACTTAATGTCTTTGGGTTGCTTTTCTCTAAAGTGAGAACAGTTCTCTTTCTTTTTTTTCCCCCCCCAAAGATTTATTTATTTGAGAGAGAGAGAATTTGAAGCAGATTCTGCACTGAGCGTGGAGCCTGATGCAGAGTTCGATCTCATGAGCCTGAAATCATGACCTGAGCCAAATCCAAGAATCAGACACTTAACCGAATGTGCTACCCAGGCGCCCTAAGAACGATTCTCTTTTAAAGGGAGCTGTATGACTGAGGAAATAAGCATGTTGGAGGGCCTCACAGGATTGAGTCATTATGGGCTGATAGTGGATGTCTCAACTTATGTTGCTTCTGGTCTGCATTTTGTTCCCATCAAAACAGTAACCACTTCATGAAATAGTAGCAGTGTAAGAAAAGTCTTTTGTTGTCTGACTTCTCAAACAGCTTTTGGTTAAGTTACAGTGATACAATGTAGACTCATTTTTTTTTTTTTTCTTATACATACTCTGATCACCAGGTATCAAGGTTACATTGGTGCAGCCCTAGTTTTGGGGGGAGTAGATGTTACTGGACCTCACCTCTACAGCATCTATCCTCATGGATCAACTG